CAAAGGGCTGCTGGACCACAGGACTGATCTCCCACGGTGCCACCCCACGGCATGCCAGCCCTGGCACTCACCAGAGTCCCTCTTGAGCGGCTTGGCTTGCTGCTTGGCGCCAGAGGCGGCTCGCTTCCGACTGCTCTGCTCGTTCCAGTACTCCCGCCAGCGCCGCAGCTGGAAGTGGATGAAGCGCCACATCACCGAGGCCTGGAAGAGGCACACCAACAGCAGCACACTCATTCTGGTAGGGGTGGAGAAGAGGCAGGCTGAGAACAGAGGAGCGAGGCCAGAACCAGCCCAGCCTTTCACCCACACCGGGGCTGGTGGCCAAGGTCCCGCTGGACCGGAGGCAGGTGCTGTCCCTCCAGCCCCTGTCTCTGCTTTCTGCCATCCCCTGAGCTCAGGGCAGCCACTTCCCTTTCTCTCCCCACCATGAAGCTCTCAGGTGCTCAGGGCATTGCTGACTCTTAAGACTTTAGGCAGGAATGGATGAATAGGATCATCTCAACGAGCACTACCCAAACCGCAGTCTACACGGTCAAGGTAAGATGTCCCCAGCTGCTCTGTACAACTAGAAGACAGATGTGGTTGGAAGGGAGCTAAGAAAGTCCCCCAAATACTCAGGCATGCCAGCAGTCTATAGCTCTGAAAACCTTGGGAATAATCAGGCACCTGTCCTAGCAGCTTCTGGTCTGAACCCACAGCTGCTGTATGGGTGAGAAAGGCTCCCAGTCTTGACAGACAGACTGCAAGGCACGAGGAACCCATCTCATCCTCTGCTTCCCACGTCAACAGGCAGCAAAACATGTCCAAGCAGAAGGGAAAACGCCTTTTCATTGACCACATCCATGTGAGCGCAGTTATGGGCACAGAAGCCTGCAAGCCTTTCTCTAAGACGCTCACGCTTTATAACTTCACTCAGTGAACAGCTTATTTGCTGGCTTTTCCCTTGCATTGTGGCTCTGCAGCCTTTAACCCCTCCTCACTCCCTCCACACCCTCCCAGCTCACTAGGACCTTCCCTAAAGGGAACCTAGATCAGATCCCTACTGGCATTTCCAAACTCAGCAAAAACCACCTTGTGGGATAACACAACCAAGGAAGATACAGTAGGGGACATTCCTACCTGAAGAGGATATTGTTGAAGAGAAAGCTGAAGAAGTTCCCTCTCTCGGGGTCGAGGGCCTGGTTCTCCACCCGTGGCAGCCCAAAGCCGATGACCAGGATGTACAGGGTGAGGGTGAAGAGCCTGGTGACCACGAACACGACAGCCCAGACGTTAAACCTGCAGGAGAGCAAGCAGAGGTGTCAGCAGGAGAAGCCTCCAGCACTGAGCTGGACGGTGAGAACGAGCCCCCCATCACACCGTCGGCTCTCCTGGGCACCGGGGGAGAGAAGCCACGGCCAGCTCGCCTGCTTACAGCTTCTCGTTGTTCTCATCCGTGAAGCAGACCAGCCGGGCCATGTGGAAGAAGAATTCGGCTAAGTACTGCAACAGCAAGAGGATCAGCCCCAAACGGGTTAAGCTAGGAGGGAAGAGAAAGAAAAAAGCATCACTGGGCTGGTCAAGCTTAGTCCTTCATATCCAGCAATGGCGTCTCCCCTGCCATCCCTGCGCTGCAGCAAGCACCAGCCCGAAGCCGGACCTCTCCGCAGCAGCAGGGGTCGGATTGTGACGGGGGAAATCCCTGTCCCCAAAACATCAAAGCGGCTCAAACCAGTAGCATAGCCGGGATGGGTACGAAACAAGGCCCTAACCGCTGGCATTGCTGCTCTGTGCACGCATTCAGAGGAAGGGTAAGAGCTTGCCTGCCCGTGCTGAGCTGGGAGAGCACCCCAGGGTGCCTCCCACACCCAGGGGAGATGCACCCATCCGCCTCCGCCTTGGGTCCCTGGTTAACACTTGCTTTGCAACACCCTGTGAACAGGGACCGCCTATGCACTTGTGTAACACTGCTGAACTCCTTCAAAATCAGCTCTGTGGGTCTGTGAAAACTGTTTGCCATTATTCCTTTTAAGCCCTCCACCCCGCTGAGGCTTCCCGGGTGACTCGCACTGCAAAAGGACCCGCTCAGCCCCATCCACGGCGCGGGATGGGATGCCGAGGCAGCCGACTCACTTGAGGAGGTATGCGCCGGCGATGTGCACCAGGTAGAGCGCGATGCACTGCAGCTGGCGGGGGATCTCCTCCTGGCAGGGGCAGAAAGCCATGTTAACCCCTCGCCTCTCTTTGCCCACCCTCTCCCAAAGTCTGCTTTCCCCAAAGCCGGTGGGCAAACCGCCTCAAGCATCCCCAGGGCACACGGGAGCAGCCACCCGGCTCTCACCTTGCGAACTTTTTGGAAGTAGAGCTCCGGCAGGGCGTGCAGCCAGTACGCCAGCTGGCACAGGTAGAAAAACTTCACCTGGAACCTGAAACGCAGGGACGAGCCGCGTGAGCCAGCCCGGGGCATGGCAGGACCCCAAGGACCCGGGCACCAGGGAAAGTGCCCAGCCGCACAGCACCAGGCAATCCCTCCACCGCTTTGAAGCCACGGGATTTAGGAGGCATAATTTCTGGGCTGAAATTATATGTTCAGCTGAGCTAGCCATGCCCAGAGTTTATCCGGCTGCTCGTGCCGCAGTCTCCATGCTCTCAGCAAACCTCACTTTTGCAAAAACCCAAGAAGGGAGGATTGTCCCCACTTCTTTGTTTCTACTATGAAAAACAAACAGCAAAGCAACTTGCCTAAGGTGATGCAGGCAGTAAGCAGCCAGGATGAGTAACCAAGCTCGCAGGGCCTTCCTCATGGAGGAAACCCTCCAGGAACACCATCCCTCGTCCCCCGGGATCTGACTGCAGCATCCTTGCAGCAGGGTGCACGCAAAGGGTGCTGCACTGTCAGCACCCCGCTCCCAGCCACAGGGAAAACCATATAGAGGAAGGAAGCGGTCAGCCCGAGAACAAAATGCCCTTGCGAGTGCTTACGGAAGATAAACATGCGGGTAGTTTTCCCACAAACTCCGGGGGTTCGATATGTATCCTTCCTGAAAAAAGAGAAGAGATGCAAGCCTTCAGCAAAATAAACAGGCAGAGCATGGTTATGATGGGGCGGGCTAATGCTACAGTGAAATTAGGAACTGGGGATGACACTCGCGTCCTTTCAGCCTGCAGTAAAAACCGTGTCCCCTGCACAAGCCAAGGCTGAGCTCTCCAAAGCTCAGCCACATTCATGGGTCCCTAGTACCCTGCTCAAGTTTCGTGAGGCCCCCGTGTCTAGGGGTTGAAAGCTCCTTGCTCGGTTGCACAGAGGGTCCCGAGTTCGGGATAGGATATTTTGGGGTTTGGGCAATGCAAGAGGGATGCTCTGGAGGCGTGGGGGCAAGATGCCAGTGGCACAGCTACAAGCAATCATGTGCATGGTCCGGGGGGGCTTCTTCCCCACTGGCATTTCCAACCCGAGTATCAGTTAAGCAAAAAGAAGTACTTCTGAAGAGAAAGGAGAACAGAAAACGCCTACAAAAATAATTTAATATGCATTGCATAGTTTAATTTTCCACCTGTCTGCCTTCCCCTATGGCCTCTTGCCTTATGCTTGCAGGGCAGATTACAGGACGGGGTTCCCTTCTCGTTTCACGCTTGCACAGCTCCTGCCACAGGGGTGCTACACTGGGCTTTGCAAAGAGATGCAGGCATGGAAAATTCATCTTGCCCAGGACCTGTCATCATTGTCCACGCCCTGTCTGCCCTAAGCCCTTTTTTCGGTTGAGGGAGCCTGGAGGAGATGCAAATTCTGTAAAAGGTGACCTGCTCTGCACATGGGGGGCATTCGGGGAGCACACCACGGCACCACAGGTTTGCCCAGGAGGCTGCAGCCCCAGAGCTGGTGAGAGATGGGTCTGGTGCTGGGTGAGGGCAGCCCAAAAACAGTGGCCTCGACTGTTTTGCCAAAGCTTCCCTCCCCACAGCCCTACAGGGCAGGAGCAGTGCCAGCAGAAGCGCTGGCCTGGAGGGGGTAGCAGTCCTCTAAGGAGGGCTGGCAGGACCCCCGAGCATCCATCCCCAGCACCGCCAGGGACCACAGCTGAACCCCAGTGGCCACCACTAGCGAAGCATCATCATTATCCCTTCACGCTGCTAAAACAGTTGTATCTCTCCACCACTGCCTGTTCTTCCCTCCCCCTTCCTCCCCAAAATGAAACATTTCCACTCCCAATTTTTCTCCCAGCACTTATGGGTTGAAATATCCCCAACGCAACCCAAGGCACGGTGTCGTTTCCCTGCTCTCAGCATTCCCCTCACTGCCAGCTCACCAAGAGAGGGATTGCAGAGAGGGATCAGAGAAATCTGTCCATTCACCCCACATCCCTGTAAAGGGCACCCGAAAACCCCAAGGCACTGAATGCAAATAAGGAGGAAAATAAAGCTGAGAAAGACAGCAGGTCCCAGAGCATCGGATGGAGATGACAGGGCCAGGCAGGATTTCTAGGGTCCAGCTCTGAAAATACTTTACAGCCCATTTGCTTGTGCCTTGCACAAAGCAGGAGAAGGATGTCCTGAAACTGCCCTCACTCTGTGGCCGAAAAGACCCACCACACTTGAAAATTAAATTTGCTGAAACGTGCCTGTCTTGGCCCAGGGGCCGGCTGGGGACTCTCTGCTGCCATTAGGGTTTTGTGGTCCCAAAACCCTAAATCCCACCCAGGGAACCCAAAGCCTGGCCAGCCCCGTGCCTTACCGTCACCACGACGTACAAGCACCAAATCACAGAGGTGATGTGGAAGGCAACCAGCTGTCCCGATTCATTGAACTTGCTGTGTTTGACCTTGGAGAGATGGAGACGCCTGTTGATTTTCTGGGAAGAAGCAGAGGGAGAGAAAAGGAACAAGAAAACATGAGCCACCCGGTCAACAACTCTCCCTCCTCCTCTTCCCTGTCCCAAGCAGCCCCCAGAGATGAAGGCTCACCCATCACCACCCCAACCCCCAGACTACCCCCCGAACAGCATTTAACTGCAGCAGGACCACGTCCCCCCATGCTACTTGAGATATTTTGGTGACTCAAGACGCTGAACGGCACTCACGTCCAGGGCGTACTCCTGCACCACCGCATGCAGGATGATGGCAATCAAGATGTAAAAGAGGATGGTGACCAGATCCTTCAGGCCATAGTGATACTGGACCAGCTCCCCATCTGCAAAGAGACCAAATGGTGGGTCAAATCCCCATGACCCAAATGATTTCCAGGTAAGGGCTTAAGGGTTAGTTGAAGTTCAGAGGGGCTATTCCCAACATGCAGCTTGGATGGGGCCACCAGAGAGGTGGAGGCAGAGAGAGGTCATGACTGTGCCAGTGGCTGCAGGGCTGGAAAAAAGGGCTCTAGCCTGAGTCAGTTTATTGGCAGAGGGTGGATGGTTTCCCCTCCAGTAGTTACACACCTCAAGGGAGGTGACACTCAGGACACTTCAAGCTTTTCCTGCCAGAGGTGAGGGGCTGCGGACAGCCTGGCTGTGGAGACGGGAATTTATCAGCCTGGTGGGATGAAGACATGGAGGCAGTGCTGAAGCAGGTGATGGGATCAGGGACACGTCACTGGGAGCATTAGGGCTCGGGATGGGATTTCCACCCCCTCAGTTATCATCCAACACCCAGTCTCTCCCACTCACCCCTGAAAGGTGCCAGAGCAGGATTCAGCTGCCTAAACGCAGATGCCTTGTGCTATTAAGAGATCCGAGACAGTGGCACAGGGCTGGCGGATGAGAAATAGGACCCATGGGACGTCCTGCTCTATCAGAGCAACAGGAGACCCAACAGCACCCAAAATACCCCTGACGTCTCCTTTTAGGCAACTATTTGCAGCCCTGAAGCTTATGGGGAAGAAGCAGAGTCGGGAAAGCTGCTGTCCTCGTGGCACCCTGCAGAAAGCATCGCGATGCAAAGCTCAGCCCACCCCAGCTGCTGCTCTCCTGTACCCTGATCCTGACCACCCCCCTCTCCTAATATCAATGCTGGGAAGTAACTTGTCTATCACCAAGCCTGTTTACCCTCGAACAAAGCTTCAGTCCAGATTTCTAAGATTTGCGGTACATGAGTAAGGTTTGAATAGGATTTATGAAAACACCTGGCGTAAGGATGTGAAAACACTTGGTCCTTAGGAGCCCCCCAGCTGGGTGCTGTGTAAATCCAGAGGTAAAAACATTGCCTGTATCAGAGCGCTCATAACCCCAGCGTAGGATAAAAGAATTGCAAGATTAAAGAAATTAAACATTATGCACGTGCATGACTGCTCTGCCTCCTCTCCTCTCTCTAGGGCACTTCAGAGGCTGCTCTAGCAGGAGCCGTGCGTGCGCTGAGCACGGGAGACGAGAGCGAGATCTGCCGACTGGCAGGCAACAGCATCCTTGTTGCGAGGGATGTGAAACAGCCTTGGAAAAATTCAGGTGAGCAATAAGCCTTCCTCCGAGCAAGCTGGCTGCACCAAGGTCTCTCTCCCCACAGCCTCAGCTAGCTAATGCCCTATACTGATACCCCAATACCTGGTCCTGGCGAGATGGGTATGTGCCCCCCCCCGCCCCGAGATTTCTGGTATCAGGAAAGAATAAATCACTTAACGGCAGCGGAAGCTGGCTGGACTGTGCCATAGGGGAGCACAGACCACAATTTAATCTGGAAGCTGGATGATTTCTTCAACCATAACGTTCAAAGATTTTAAGGGCAGACCTTTTATCTTCTGCGTGTCTGCCTCATCGTAGTTTCACTAATCCCAACAACCCCGCTCTGCCCTTGGCTGATTACTCGAACACTTCTAATTCACTGACGGTTTCTCAGC